ATAATAATAAAAGTAATAATACGTTTAAACAGCACATGTCCACGCTCTACCGCGTGCTCTGTGAGCTTTTTCGGCTGTATTACCCCAGCAGATCCAAGAACAATCAGAAACATTCTCATCTTCCTGGGAAGTATACAGTGCTAGCCGATGTTAGCACGCGCTCAAACATAAACAAACTGACCAGATCTTTCTCCGTCTATAGCTGAGTACCTATTCCGACCTGGGCGAAGGAGAAAGTAAGCGTATGGGTGCAAAAAGCACTTGGCAACCCGAATAAGACATCAAATCAACGTGCTTGATTCGAATAAAAATACTTAATATTTTTTGTATTATCGTCGCATTAAGACTGTATTATTTCCTTAATCTAAACTATCCAAAATGCATAATAATATGGTAACAATTTAAAAAAGGAGCAGGCTTAAATGTTTAGATGATGTTTTCATTGTTTTTAAAATTTGGTTCTTTTTTTGGAGGGGAGGGGGTGGTAAAAGAGTCGAAATCTTTTCTTTTTAATAAATCAATAAAGACAAACTAAACTTGCGTTTTTTAAGGAGACATTTTACGAAGAAGATCGTTTCTACTGGAACTTTATACTATAGCCACCAATTTCAAGTTTCAGCTAAATGCAAAGACGTCAACATGTTAGACATATAAGTTAATATTCGTGACCGAGATCTTTCTTACCTGGTAATTTGAAAGTTGAATGCCCTCGAGGTACTGTACGGGGGTCTCCACTTGTCGTGAGATTGATCAGCACATTCACCTGTCCGCTTCCTGTTATTCACAGAAAAGTTGTGTCCTCCCTTGGACTCGCAAACGTTTACAAGTTGTTTTCTAGTAAAATTCTCAAACTCATTTCGTTTCTATTCTTTACTTCTATTTAGTTTCCCAATTCAGTACAACTGTAGATTTATTATTTTTTTTGGCGCCATCTTCTTTGTCGTCATTTGTTTCACTTTTTCATTTAACTGGGGTTTTTTTAAGGGCATGTTCAAACTATAATACTACGAGTGCTGGAAAAACCAGGCTAAGAAAATAATACATTTTTTTTCGTAAAGGAAACAATGGTAACTGCTGATGAAGACCTTAAAATGGAGGAGGGGGGGGGGTGGGAGACTACACCCCCAAAGTCCCGATTCGGCTCAAAATTTAGGAATTTGAGTTGTAGGCATTTTTAGTTTCCTCAGCCTCTCCTACAACTATTCCATCGCAAACGAACACCCAAAAGCCTTATTTTTTCCCATACTGGGCATGTTTGTCACTACCATTTCCTCATCAAGTCAATATCTTATTTTTCTTTATTGCTGTTTTTCTTAAAACGCGATTTTTCTCTATACCTTTGTAAATAACCACTATTTTTCCTCCGATTTTCATGAAATTTTCACAAAATGAAGAGAAAATGTAGTACTTAACATTAATTTGTTTATGTTTTGGTATGTAGAAAAGATTTTTGTCGGTTGTGTCTGGAGTGTGGATTTTCGCGGATTTTTTGCAAACCTGAATACTACCTCAGGGAAAAAAATTCATTAAAATATTCTAATTCATTTAGGAGAAAATCAACATAAAAATATTTAGATCTAATGTTCGCTAACTTGCATGAAAAAAACATTCAATTTCCATAAAAAATAAGTGCGGTATTCATTACGTAAGACATGTCAACAAAATCCGATATGGTCGCCGTATCCATGGAAACAATTTTTTTTTCTAAAATTTGATTCCGGATTTTAAAACTCATTACTATGTTTGTTATATATGTTACATTTGGTAAAATTTGGTCGAACTAATAAGCGAGATAGCCTTCAGGTGTAGCACACACACCCTCCCCCTTAACCCTTTGTTTCTTGAGGTATGAAACGATAATAGCTAGAGGTTCAAATTCACTCAACAGGATGATCTATGCAGGAAAATTACCCCCAAAAAAACTTTTAATCCAAACACAATTTTCCACTGTAGTGTAAAGGCGACTTGGAAAGGAACTGGCCACCCAACGACAATGACAATATGCCGAAGGCTCAGGAAGTTGTCTCTTTAAGAAGACAATCCCCAATGTCCGGATCGGATGCGGGAACAACTTTTTTAAGTGTACGCTATGAACTCTGGATACGTGTTTATGATGCCTATGTGTCCACGGTGATGGGCATAATGCATACAAAGACGTCTTACTTTTGATGAAAGAGTTATAATAAACAATAACTGCCCCTGTCTTCTACTATAATATGAACATGGACGTTTTCAACTTTCTTGAACAAACAAAACGATACAGGTGTGAGAGTCAATGACGCCGTGGCGTGGCCTTATCATCATGCCCATTGTGGAGGATTTGTTTGTTAAAAAAACACAAAAAAACTATGCCTCTTATCAAGTTGGCATTTAACTCCTACCTCGAGAGGCCCGTGGAATACAATTATATAGTACAGCACTGCATAATGAAAGAATGACACAACCCCCCACCCCCGTGACAGGTACCACTCACACGCCACAATATGGTAGGTGTGACGGCGTCCTGCCATGATGTCCACTGTAAGGATCTGGTCCGGTAAAACAAAAGAAAACACTCCTTTAAAACTAGCCTACCCCCCCCGTAGGATGTGAGACCGTTGGGAGAAATAATAATCTTGCGTGTATTCCAGTTGGGGAGGGGGTGGGGTGGTGGTGGAGAGGGATTATGTTGTTGTAAGGCTGGAGGTGGGGTTTGCTGTTGAGGAGATGTTCACACATGTGGGCAGAGGAGCAGTGGGGCTAAGGATCGGTAAGGTTGGGATATATTTTTATTGGTGGAGTTGGAGGTGGACTGATGAGAATGTAGCTATTGTGTGAACACTTTGGAAATACATTTGAATGTATGTAGATCGTTATCACTTAGCTACATGGGTCTGGCTCTTTGAAATTTGTACGGAAGGCCATGTGATGGCGCTTTTAAGATAAATTTACTCAATACAAATGTATACTGAAAAATCAATTCCAAGAGTTGGTGAATCCTGCAAGGTGTCATGCAAAACATGTGTTAACTAAAAGAAGAAAAAAATGACCGAGGCATTTTCTTTCTGCCAAGAGGTGACAAAATTCTTGAAATGCTGAAAAGAAAATAACTTGCTACAAAAGTAACTTAAATTAATTCACTCACCCCTCCCCCCTCTCACACATAACACATATACTCAACCCCTTTTCCACTCGAAAGAAAATTGAAATACACGTATAAGCAAAATGAAGTTAAACGTTTTATTTGTGTTAGAGTCCTTTTTTTAGGGGGGGGGGGGGCGTTGGTATGAAGAAAGAATCACGTCGTTCTGCTTTTGTGCTAAGACTTCAAAGTAATTGATAACGACCACCGATAATTCGTGGAGTTGTGCTCTTGGTAAAAGTGAAGTCTATAAGCTACCGACAACAAATACATTGTTACCATGTAGGACTAATTCAGAAGAGAAAGTATTTGAAAAATTGGGTTAAGTGAATACTTTAGATAAAGAACTTGTGCGGCTCCAAAGCAATTATTTATAAAACGCAAAACCGGGCGCCGGAGTCTACATACCCAAACAAACAAAACAAAGATATGGCATGTTTTCCACTGGACAAGAGTGGGAAGGTAGCAATGGGGGACGCATTACTCATAGCCTCAAGTGTCACTACCGTCTTACGAGGTCTATCATAAGAGCTATCAGTTTACTTAGGGTTTACTTTTGAGTAGAACGCTTTACTGTAAGAGGTGTCATTGTAACAGGACAGAATACCAATAGACGCATGCCGATTGAAACGATTTAAATTGCCGGGTCTGGAGTGATCAGATCAGATCTCTTATTGAGTTTTATCATTGCAGGTTAGAATTATTGAGACACGATGACTCATTCGCCTCCCCCAGGACTCCCTCGCGCATTTTTTCATAACACTTTATTGCTCGGTCGAGAACATTGGACGGACAATGTACAATATGTAAAAGTAATAGATTACTTCTCCAACTCCACTTCTCTTTTTCTTTCTTTCTTTCTCTCTATCTCTTTCTCCCCCTGTTTCTCTTTCTTTCTTTCTTTATTCTGTTGTGTTAGCCTGTTCCTCACACCCACACACACACCCACACACACACACACACACACACACACACACACACACACACGTGGATATTACTATGGTGACTGAGACTTTTGACACTGCGAAATAAAAAGGGACACACGCGTCTACTGATGAAATATTTTTCCTTCTACAGCCAAGTGGGTGTCTCGTGTAACGACCACA